AAAAAAAAAAAAAAAAAGCAACAAAGGAAAACAGCTCCTGGGGAGAAAGCGACATAAAACTTCTTTGTATCATATGTATGACTCGGAGGACATATGAGAGGATATTATTATAATGTTAATGTCTGGTCTTTAATGGCGGCCACTCGTTTATGACATGTTCTATGATGATAGTTAAATGACATTCGGTTTTGCAAGCAAAAGCATATCAAACTCAATGGATACGAAGTCCGCTGTATGTTTATCTGATTAAGATAAAGATTAAGAACTTATTTACTTCCCTGGAATTTTGTGGCTTCCCGTGGCAGTGACATCATATCCCGCCCACAAGTAAATCGCCTCTTCTTCTTTCTGAGGGACTGAAGCGATCATCTCTCCCAACTGTCCTTGAAATTCCAACGTTCTGCAAGGGCAGGAAGATCGCAATAATTTCTAACCATTCGTGCCCATAGCGTCCAGTGCTTCCCCCAGAAAACCCATCGAAGCTTATCGATATTAGTTTGGAGTCTTGGCACATTCCATTGCGGGTCATCACAAATGGTCACGAACTTGTCGGTCAACATTTATATCAACACTTTTGTTTTTGTTTTGTTTTGTTTTGTTTTTTTGGGGGGTCCTGTAGCTTAGCGTGAGGAGATACATTCACGGAGGCAGGACTATAGAGCTTGCAGACACCTTACATACTTAGCACCAATGGTATGGCCACCTTGTCTGGATAAATCTCCCCGTGCCCTCTGCCGAGACTGACCTTTGGCGCTTGGCTTCTTGTCCAACGCAGGCGTCGATCCTACGGCAAATAGTCGCTGGTCCTCGATTACAGCACCCAGAAGCGGGTCTAGATTTATGTTATGTCACCGATAATCGTGAGTATTTCACAGTCTTTACGATAGGACGCTATTGGCCTGTTTCTGGATTGTCGCTGATGCTTTTCTTTTCTTCGCTACCGTGCAGTTATTGCAACGTCTGGCCCGTCCCCTAACTACCCGAAACGTGCCTACAGAAACCCGCTCGACAATCTAGTGAAATACCTTGACTCTAAACATGGCGAGGACTGGTGTATCTTTGAGTTCCGGGCTGAGGGGACAGGGTACCCCGACAAGGCTGTCTACGGGAGGATACATCACTACCCATTCCCGGATCACCATCCCCCGCCATTTGCACTTATCCCGGCGATCATGGGGTCCATGCACAACTGGCTCCATGGGTTAGATGGTAAGATTTCTCAGGGGGAAGCACCGGAGAAACGGAAGAGAGTTGCGGTGGTCCACTGCAAGGCTGGTAAGGGGCGGAGTGGAACGGTCGCGTGCAGTTATTTGATGACACATGCAGGATGGAAGATGGAGGATGCTCTGCAACGGTTTACCGAACGGAGAATGCGGTCTGGGTTTGGCCCCGGGGTGAGTATCCCGAGCCAGCTGCGCTGGGTCGGGTATGTCCATCGATGGGTAAACCAAATGGGCAAGAAGTACATCGAACGACCGGTGGAGATCCTTGAACTGCATGTGTGGGGTCTGCGGGATGGTGTCAAGGTTGCGGTGGAAGGCTTCGTCGATGAAGGCAAGAAGATCCAAAACTTTCACCTATTTAAACGAAGTGAACGGACCGTTGTGGACGACGGAAGGGTGAAAACGGATTCCTCCCAGAAGACGGACAAGAAGAAGGCTAATGGCCACAAAAACGGTATCAAAAAGGCTTTCTCATCTGTAGTAGATCCATCGGGTTCGTCCAGCTCATCTAGCTCGAGCTCATCCGAAGAGGACTCAACTACCCAGAAGGGCACGTCAGCTGTTCTCTTCCGGCCTAGCAAGCCGCTCATCCTTCCTACCTCCGATATAAACATTGATTTTGAACGAAGAAGCAAAGCTTACAAAGATTGGGCAATGGTGACCTCTATCGCGCATGTGTGGTTCAACGCTTACTTCGAAGGGGGCGACCAAGAAGATTCAGGCGTCTTCGAAGCAGAGTGGGACACGCTAGATGGTATCAAAGGCACCTCAAGAAAAGGGGTCAGAGCTCTCGACCGGCTCAAAGTAGTATGGAGATATCCACCTTCGGGACCAGAAACAAAGGAACCAGAAACGGCCCCCACGCCGGGCCAAATCATCACAGAGCCCAAACCTGGTGAACCGATGTTCGAAGGCCGTGCAGCTGACTGGCGAGGCCAAGACCCAGGAGAGCAGAAAGGTGTACGAGACCAGGAGAACATCCCAACGCGGGTTCCCGACGTCCCAGAGCACCAGGAAGGGACCAAGAAAGATGCAAACACGATCCTCACAGGCCTCGGCACTGCCACCAGTAGTGCAGCCGCCGCCGCTACAGCTTCGGTGCAGATGCTAGGCAAGGAGCTAGGGCTGAGAAGACAGACAGATGAGAGTAAAGACGTCAGTCTCGCCGAAAGTGACGACAACGAATCGGTGTTAGGTCACCGGAAGCAGGAAGGCGATGAAGAAAAAAGACAGGCTTTAAACAGAGCAGAAAGTGAAGACTTCCAGGGCGTTCAATCTTACTTTGGAAATGGTGATAAAGACGATTCTACAAGCTCCCCGAAGACTACTAAAGCTTCTTGATTTTCCTTCTTTTTTCTTTTGGCTTGTAGATAACATGTGCTCGGGATGATATACAAATCCCCTTTCTTTCCTTGTTTTCCGTCCTTTCTTTCGTCGGCGCTCATCACAGTTAGTTTGGGATATATTTATTTTGGGCCATTTTATGTCCATGTACATACAAAATACCCATACAAAATCTATATTATGATTAATACTAGAAGGCACAAAGTTGCGGTAATTTCCACAAAAATCAGATATATACATATTCAGTATTCTAACGCTACCTTAACTGAGAGCAAGGGACTGATAAAGGACAGGTTTAACACTCAGGAATATCAAAGAGGCACAAACCCCTCCATCCGTTGTCGGGCCTCTTCTTCCTCCCGTTGTAGTCGGTCAGACTTCTTGCGCTCATAAACGGCCCGGACGACGCGTTTCACCTGTTCCTCGCCTTGAGCGAAATTGGCCTTGGCAAGTCCGACGACTGCGTCGATCTGCTCAGGGCTGTATACGAAATTCCAGGTGGAGAGAAAGTCATCAACATCTGGATCGATGGAGCCAGGGTGCGGTGTTAGGGGTCTAGCTGGGTCGGAAACGTTCGCCGAGGACTTGGTCTCCTTTCGTTGCGCGGGAGCTGGGGACTTTTTCAGCGACGAGCTGGGAGGCAGTTCTGGGGCATCTGGGTTCGGGATGAGAGGGAAATACACGACCGCAATACCTGCGTCAGGGCGCATCAAGTGGAAGTCGGACTCTTTGTGATCCTTATTCCTAGGTTGGAAGAGACGCTTTGATGGTGGTGGTTCTTCACCGGAGACTCTCTCTTGCGTGGTACCGACCCATACATTGCAGTAGTCAAGATCGGTGTCTCCATTGCTAGGGTTCTGTCCGGGGTCCGTGGATGGGGTTTGTCCATTGCTCGCAGTGTTTTTATCGTTGTCTTGAGCTTCCCTGATCTTTGAGTCGAGTTCCGCTTCGGAGATATTTTGTGCTTCCCGGAGTTTTTCCTCGGTTTCCTTCAACTTTGTATCCTCTTTTGGCCAGCCGGCTCCTAATGGCCAGCCCTTGACACCTCGTTGTCGTGCGTACCCGTCGACAACTGAAAGCCAGTTCTCTTGCTTTATGTCGGCTGAAGCGTCAAAAGCAAGGATGATATCTACGTCTCTGCCGGGACGTAGCAGTGGATATATGGGCAGGTTATTGCTCATTCCCGCATCCATTAGCCGCAGATGCGAACTTCGGAAGATTGATTCGGGACAGGAAGGTGGCAGGACATCCTTCATACCTAGCACATAGTTCGGTATAGTGGCAGGGTCGATGGGATGAACTCGAACCAGATCCTTATCTTTCCCTTGGATTAAAGAGTCTATGCCTGTAAATCCAGTAATGCCTCGTACCAGTGGTCGTATCTCCTTGTAGTAATGAGATAATGTTGCACAGAAAGCGCTCCCCCAAACTCCCATGAGGCCTGGAACACGAAGTTCAGGGATCGGGTAGTGTCCCTCGGCAATTGCATTGACACCTCCATTGAAATGCCTTCCTAAAGCCCATGTAGGTATGCCGGCCCCGAGCTCCTCGCAGAAGAACTCATAAGGTGTAAACTCGAACCACTGGAACCACGATTCATCTTGCGCCTCCTTCATCAATGTCTCGGGCGTTGGCGGTTTCTTGGTATGGCCATCTTTAAGGCTCTCAATGACCGGGATCTCGTGTCGGACGGCAGTATAAATAGGAAGCGGGTGAGCCCCATCGGTGAGGTTGTATTTCTGGTTGGATAATTTCAAGTCCCGATCTGAGATTCCAAGCTCTCCTTTGGGTACCAGCAGTCTCGCAGCTAACAGCATCCCATATATGTCTACCAGTCCGAAATCCGCTCCAGGGTCGCCTTTTAACTTCTCGACTAACCCACTGAGAAGATATTTATTGGTTGGGGCAGTCGTTAATGCATTGAGAGCCTTCGGCGGGAAAGCTATATGTACGCCCAACCTATGCTTTAGGTGGTCCACCAATTTCTGAAAATCGCGGCCCGTAATAGATGAATGATACAGTGTCTGTAGCCAGCAACTGCCACTGACGCCAGCAGTATACGTCACACAGTCCCACAAGCCAGCTTCCTGCGTGGCCAGATATGACCCAGTCCCAGCGACAAGCGCCCGCAGCCCACCTCCCGAGCCGCACATAGCAATGACAGGGACGTCGTCTGGGTGGATATCCTCTTCAGGAATTTCCAAGTACGATGCAAGTGCTTTCACCCCATGCTCCCGCCTCTTCCGCCTGAACTCTAGTTCCTCACGACATAGATCGCTTCCCACACGAACTCTTGCATCTCGTAATATTTCTGGATTGATATCCGGATCGTGGGCTTCCTTCCAGATATCATCCGCAAGGGAACCGGGGGCCATTGAGAGCTCACGCTGGAGCTTTTGCACTGTCGCTGGAAGCAATCGGGTCCAGTCCGGAATGATATAATTTTTAAGGCTGTCAATTTCGATCCAATCGGTTGAACCCACCGTCTGCTTTACTCCGTCAAACTTATGTAGGATGTTAGTCCATATTGAGTTCGGGTCGCCATGATCGGAGCTGTGTTCGGAGCTCAAGTCCCAAGTGCCTTTTTGCGAGCTAGTAGATGACGGCTTTGCGGACCGGTCGTCGACATGATATGTCGTAGAAGTGGAAAACCGAGCTGTTTGATCGGTCTGTTGTACTGTGTGTTTGTAGTAACGGGTCTGACCACTAGTGGTGTATAGTGCCCCACTGCCCAAAGCTATCAAGACAGCTGGGGGAACAGTCCAGCGAAGACGCAATGCCTTCGCAGCACCCATGTTGTGACAGGTACCGCGCAGGAGAGAGGGGGTACAGGACAGCATGCGACCTTTAAAGCCATGGCGAGTGGGCCAGACCACGGCGATCTCTTTCGTAGCATTTTCCGACTTTACCCAACTTGCAGACAGGGTGACATCATATCACGTGCAATCCTCGGCACAATAGACGGACCGGCTGCATGCCTCTTTGGGGCTAGCAGTGATTGCGGAGTGGGAAAAGCAACCTATGAATTGTCGCTGTTGGTCTGGGGAGTAACAAAGCTCCAACAACTTAATTAATTATGCCCGCTCCATGAGGCCAGGTGCCTCATCGGCCAGCTGTTCAGTTCCTTGGAATCGCCCTGACTTGGATTATCACTTTAGCTCCGACCAGCAAGTCATGACGTCTTTTGGATAGAAGCGCGAGTGAAATTGTCATATTTTCGATTGTCTCATGATTGTGGGACCTGCCGCTCAAGCACTCCCTGACCATGGTAGCCCCAAGGAATACTGCTTACGCAGAGGAGAGCGCGGAGGTGGAGGTGTTGTATGCCAATCTTGAGAAGCTTAAAGTTCTTACCAAGAAAATCCAAGGTTCCCTTGTCCGCCTTGAAACTGGAGGGAACGTCGTGAAACATGCTATTGGGCCTATCTACAGTAATACCCAATCGCTTCAAATCACCAACAATAACATTGATAAGGTCAATGACGCCATTGACCGCCTGCGCCAACCTCTCGACGCAAAGAGTCGGGAGGAGGGCATCATCCGCTCTGGGTAAGCGAATGCCTTGTTATGTTCCTAAAGTGAACAACCTAGCTGACCCAGTATCAGGCCGCAAAATGCTGAGTTGTCGCAATATCTCGCAGCAATAAAACGTGTAGAAAAGGCCCTCGTTGACCTCAACTCCACGAACTTGAGATCAAACCAGAAAGCTATTTCTGACTTCAATTCTTTATTGAGTACCGGGACTGTTCGACTTCAAGACTTGTTACGAAGCAAGTTAAGCGACGACGTCAGTCCTATCGAGCCTTTGCATTATCTAACGAAAGGTGTGTTTCAACATCATGCGTGAAGTTCCTTCGGTCAATAATACTGATATTTCTATGTAGAACTACCGTTTCCTTCGATTCCGGAAGAAACCGTTACAGAGCTAGGACCTATATGTGCCGCAATCAATTCCGCAGCAATTCACGGCCCACAACATGGCGACGGCGGAAATCCCGCCCTTAAAATATATGCTGCAGTTCGAGCACCGTATATCACTTCAAGCCTGCAAAATCTTGCCATTGCATCGCTGAATACTGTTAAAAGACGAGCTGATGATGGCCCTTACAGACAAGGCACTAATGGAATTGGCATTTATTCGAACGCCTTGGAGAACTTCATATACGCCGAGCACGATATCATCTCAAGAATCTTTACTGGGGATCAGCGGGGTTTGGCTCTACAAGCAACATGTCAGTCAGCTATGGCTGAATACTCGAAGACCCTGCGTGAGCTGAATCAATATATCAAAGCCAATCTCATGACGGACTGCTTCTTAGCTTTTGAAATCATTGAGATTGTTACAGCGATGTCTTATCGTGTTGATGCAAAGACAGGGGAGCTCAAGAGCATGTTCATTGAAGCTCTTAGGCCTATTCGCGAAACCGCAAAGTCATCCCTCTCAGAATTGCTTGAAGAAACGAAACGAAAAGCCGCATCCATCCAGGTTCTGCCACCGGATGGCGGGTCTGTGCCTCTTGTCAACGAGGTCATGAGTTCTTTGATCACGTTGACCGCTTATTCTGGACCTCTGGCATCTATTTTAACTTCCTTGGGAGATGGAAACTGGCGCTCTAATTCTAATGCTTCGGGTACTGCTCCGTTAGATGTCAGTCCAGATAGCTCAACACTTCTATCACACTTCATTCTTGACATGATCGAAGCCCTTATGATTGCCCTGGAGTCTCGGGGTCGGGCATTCCATCGCACCAAAGCTGTCCAGGGCGTCTTCCTGTCAAATATATTTTGCAATGTTGACCGCGCTATTCGGTCGAATCCCGAACTAGCACGATACCTCGGCTCTCCCGACAGTATCGCACGGATAGACACCTTTCGCAAGCGCGCTACTTCAACTTATTTGGATTCTTGGAAGGAGACTTCGCAGTATCTGCTTGATGTGCAATACACATCTCGGGGTGCCGGTGCGTCAACTAGACCAACGTCCGGAGGCATTGTTGATTCTAGCGCCATAGTCAAATCTCTTTCATCAAAAGATAAAGACGCAATTAAGGATAAGTTCAAGGCGTTCAATGCAAGCTTCGATGACCTAGTTTCTCGTCACAAGGCTCTGTATATGGAGCGAGAGGTGCGAGGTGTCCTGTCCCGTGAGGTGCAGACTGTGCTGGAGCCATTGTATGCGCGTTTCTGGGACCGCTACCATGAAATCGACAAGGGAAGAGGCAAGTATGTCAAGTATGACAAGGGGAGCCTTTCTGCGCAACTTGCAGCATTGGGATAGGTATACCTGGGTTAAACCCACATCCTAATACTTAGCATTTGTTGGAGGACAATGTGATGGTCTCGAATGCGCTGCGCTGCGTTTCAAAACGCCGTTAATATGTCTATATGTGATTATATCTAGGATTCCGAGAGAGTTCTATTATTTTTTTAATGCTATAATTCTTGAACCACAGAGTACCCGCTTATCTCTTTATCCGCAAGTATTATCAAATATCATGTGATGATAGCCCCTCCGGATTTAACTCATAACGTGACTGATAAGCGGAGCCCCGCTAAGTCTGGCCACCGCAAGCAAAATTTCCGTCGATCACGCACACACTCTGCCCCCAAACCTCCTTCTATTTCTCTTCCTGCCTTTCAATTCCTTGTGGAAGTGCTTCGATTTCATTTTGGCAGGATGTCCGCAAGCAACGATGTTTACCAGACCCCTCTCAACTCGCGTTATGCGAGTAAGTACCCGCAGTATGCTTCTACAGAAAGCTTGTACTAATACCGCGGGGTTCTGTAGGCGATGAGATGAAATACCTCTTCTCTCCGAGAAACCGTTTCTCCACCTGGAGAAAGCTCTGGCTGTGGCTTGCTGAGTCTGAGAAAGGTATAATCTTGCATAGTCCAGACGTCAGATAACGCTTCCCCCCTAACCCGTCATAGAGCTCGGCTTGTCTATCTCTGATGAGGCCATTGAGCAGATGAAGGCCCACCTTACCATCCAGGACGAAGAGTTCAAGGTTGCTGCTGAGGAGGAGAAGCGCCGCAGACACGATGTCATGGCCCACGTTCATGCTTACGGTCAGGTCGCACCCGCTGCTGCTGGCATCATTCACTGGGGTGCCACTTCATGCTACTGCACGGACAATGCGGATCTGATCTTCCTCCGTGACGGCCTCGACATCCTCATTCCCAAGCTTGCTGTCGTCATTGACAAGCTGTCTGCGTTCGCTCAGCAGTACAAGGACCTGCCTTGCCTTGGTTTCACTCACGGCCAGCCCGCTCAGCTTGTTACTGTCGGAAAGAGAGCCTGCCTCTGGATTCAGGACTTGCTCATGGATCTGAGAAACTTGGAGAGGGCCCGTGATGACTTGCGCTTCCGTGGTGTCAAGGGTACCACCGGTACTCAGGCTTCTTTCCTCCAGATCTTCGACGGAGACCACTCCAAGGTTGAACAGCTGGACGAGCTTGTTACCCAGAAGGCCGGCTTCGATTCCGCATTCATCATCTCCAGTCAGACCTATTCTCGAAAGATCGACGTTGACGTTGGCAACGCCCTGGGCTCTTTTGGATCTACCTGCGAGCGCATCGGCATCGACATCCGCCATTTGGCCATGCTTAAGGAGGTTGAGGAGCCTTTCGAGAAAGACCAGATCGGCAGCAGTGCCATGGTTAGTGGCTTATATGATAACAACAGCCCTCTTTTATCTAACCGATTCATAGGCTTACAAGCGTAACCCCATGCGTTCTGAGCGTCTGTGCTCGCTCGGAAGACACCTCCAGAACCTCCCCAAGGATGCACTGGACACCTACTCCGCGCAGTGGTTCGAACGTTCTCTGGTAAGACAGTATTAGTTTCTCCGAAAAATATTATACTAACAACCACCAGGACGACAGCGCCATCCGTCGTATCAGCATTCCCGAGCTCTATCTCTCTGCCGATGCTTGTCTCATTCTCCTGAGTAAGTAAGCGCCAAAGTCTCCTCGAGACGATAACTAACTCCCTCAAGACAACGTTACCTCCGGCTTCGTTGTCTACCCCGAAGTCATCAAGCGTCGTGTCAATGACGAACTTCCCTTTATGGCCACGTAAGTCCCTCAATGTCCCCTAAATTACAAAACGCCATATACTAATCGTCTCACAAGTGAAAACGTAAGCTATCTACGATACCATCCACTAAATACACCAAGATACTAATTGATAAATTTAGGTCATCATGGCCTGCGTCAAGAAGGGCCTCTCCCGCCAGGACGCCCACGAGGAGATCCGTAAGTGACTCTCATAAAGAACACCTTGCCACCTCATTCTGACAAATTCTATCCTAGGTGTCCTCTCCCACCAGGCAGCAGACAATGTCAAAAAGCATGGCAAGGACAACGACCTGCTCGAGCGTATCCGCCGCACCGCATTCTTCAACCCCATCCTGGGCGAACTCGACACCCTCCTCGACCCTAGCACCTTCGTCGGCCGTGCCCCCCAGCAAGTCGAGAAGTTCACCTCCACTGAGGTCAAGAAGGCCCTCGAGCCCTATGCCGCTGCCGTTGCCAAGGCTGAGACCTCTACGCTTAGCGTTTAAGGTTGCAGACATACATGACTTTCCCTCAAAGTGCAGGCCAGACTCCAGGGGGAAAGAGGATGCCTACCAAACGGTGAACCCCCTTACTGTGAAGGATGAAGACAATGTGACAAGCATGAGAGGAGGTTTGTTTGTCTCAGGCAAACACATGTGAAAAGTAACATAGAGTTAAAACCACGCGCAAAATTTTTCATTTTCCAAAGGGATCACCAAATTATGTATATAGTAATCGATGACTGAGATGTTTATTGCACTTTTCCTCTGTTTCATGGCGCTTTACTCTACAGTACTTGTAACATAATACGCCGGGCCGGGCCCCGAGTCTATGTGCGGTTGCACTAAGTGGAATCACGGATACTTGTGTGTTAGATTAGGGCTATCAAACGGCCATCGCCGCAGCACAAAAGTACCTAACTAACCACCCGGCCCACCAACTGGTAGTAAGCATAAGATCCACTAGGTTTTTTAACTCCGAGGTAAACCATATCACAATCTGTTCAGTGTTCACACACTGACCCCGCCGTCCCACTTTCAGAAATGAGGGGTACTCGTAAGACCAAGCAAGGGACAGTAAAGAAACAAGAGAGACACAAGTGAGTGGGTTGTATTACAAATACAAGATATGACGTGTAAGATACAAATCCGTAATATACATGAGAGAAGAAAAATCTGAAAGGGAAATCGCACTTCAAACAACCATTCGTGTCTTAATATGACATGTGAGGTTTCAAATATGAAAGTGTAGGTCCGGGTCTTTCTTTTCTAGCATTTTTTTTTTCTGTTCGGACTTATTTGAAAATACAGGTTGGGAATCAAAAAAGACAGGAGAAGTAGCGTTGTGATGCAACAGGCGTGCAGAAATATAAAAGTTGTCGTTAAATGCATCAATCTCGTGTATGATAAAAAATCTATGTAAACTGTGAAAATGGTTTAGCAAGGCGATCAAAAGGGGAAAGAGCAAGATGCAGAAGCAAGACTTCGAGGAAATTACACTCGTAGAGGGAGGGGTACTGCATACCTCACCACCCAAAAGTACAGAACAGGATAGAACCCAGAAGCCATGTGTCCTTGGCATGTCATCTAGCTGCCGTATCACGCATATCACACTATGGTCCAGCCCCACCGTTTAGAGCATCGACAACCAGTTAATTACCTGAGAAGAACAACTATGTTAAGAGAGGCACTTGCTTCAGTGAAAGGCAGAGAAACTTACCATCATTGCCTGAATCAATGCCTCCTTCTCACCATAGTGCATACCATCCCAGCTATCTGCTTGTAGCGTTGCATTGTACATTCCCAGCGTTTCCATACCTCTGGTTCGTGCCGCCTCAAATGTATCCAGCGTGTATTGCCAACTACTCGCGTGGATGTTGCTTCCAGAATGCTTTTGGTGACCCGGGGCAGTTGGACCTATCCAGAGGAAGGGCATATCACGTTTACTAGATTGGGCCATTCCTAGCCATTCATCCATACTATTTCCAGCAATCCCAAGTGAATAGGAAGTAGAAAGAGAAAGACTCTGGATCACAGGAACAGGCTTTCCCTGACCACCCGCTCGGTTGATGAGCTGTCGGAATCTCTCTTGAGCGCTCTTCGAAGCAGGTGAGCTCGTTGCTGTCACAAAAGAGTGGGGAATAGCTGCATAGTAGACCTGGTCAGCATTTGAGGCAGAACATAACCTGGAAATGGCAACCATAGTTATTTTTTTAAAGGGGGTCTATGCTCACAAGATGAACAGGTATTTGGGCCTGAGGTTATTTTGTTATCGTTTTGCTTCTCCACCTGCTCGCTAGAGGTAATTCTCAGCGGTAGACAGGAGGCGCTGGTGAACTGTGAGCCGCATCTGCATTTCTCAATCTGCTCCTTGGTCATCTCCGATCCTCTCAAGGCACCAGTTGCGAGGTCCCCCCGAACAAGGATATTAAATCCGGCGTAGATATCGGCGAGAGATTCATCGCCAACGAAAACGAGAGCGCCAAACTTTTGCAGAATGTCACATATTTCAGCGTTGCTATACCAGCGATAGAAGCAGCCTGCACGACCAGAATTAGTCAGTTTCCTACCGGTAAGGAAGGAAAAGGGACATAAAGACAGAGCTACTGTGGCGGACCGTTTGCTTCGTGGCATCAGCAGACCACAATCAGCATCTCGCTCACCTTTGGAAATATATGCCTCGTCAAAGCCATGTCGGCCGCCATTACTCATTGCACTGAGCAACGAATCTCGAGTCTGGCAGTACGAATGGCTCAGAGCTCTCCGGTCCTCCATTTTAGGGGGTTCGTAGAGAGCAAGAGATGAGATGCCACACTCCTGGCGTCCTACATACCGCTCCAGGAGACTGCCAGCAAGGTCTGTCAGTTTGGTTCTTTATCGGAGCTCTAACATTTTCAGGATCTCACGGGTATAAAACTCACTCCGAGGAGGTGTCCGTGACGATCATACTGGGCTGAGTAGAGGTGAAGGGAAGAAAGAAAATATCACGGATGAGCCAGACAATGTAGAAGACCCCGAGGACCCAGAGGGATGCCATCAGCTTGTAAGTAGATGATCGCCAGGTGACTCTCCGTACCAACCTGCGTCCATTAGGGCCTTCGATTGGACCACGCCGCTGTGGCTGATTACCCGGCTGCATACTTGTAAATGGATATGCAAATGCCTCGTTCGCCGACGACGTGGCCATTGGTTCACTATGGGATGTACGGCGACGAGACATAGCCGGCATGTTGATATGCACGTGCAGTTCTGGAAGGGGGGGTGGGAGGAAAGGGCCGTGCAGAAGTATGAGTGAGAAAGTCGATGCAATCTTAGAGATGATGCATCTGTTCAGGAGTAGGGCTGCTTTAGTGGCAAAATTTTTAGAAATACAAAAGGGAAGTGAAAAGGAAAAGGGACCGAGGCGTAAGAGGTAAATTGGGGCCAAAGCAGAGGAGGGGTGCAATCGTCGTCGTGAATCGTTAGTCGTGAGAGGAAGACGCTGGGGGAGGGGCACTTGGTGGAAAGTATTCAGTAAGGAAGTCGTGCGGTTCAGTGTCCTCTGCTATTTCCCAATTGGGAACTTTCGTCGTCTTCAAATTGTCCTGGTTTTTTTTTTTTGTTTTTTTTTTATTCCCGTGTTCTTTAATCTCTCTCTCCTTTCCACTTCCTTCTCCTAGATCTGCGATCTCTATGTAAAAAGTTTTGGTCCTTGTTCTTGATTGTGAGCAGGTCCCCCTTTTTAATCCTCGCGTTTTTCAACGACCCTAGGAGATTAACGAGCAGAGCCGTTGATTATAATCCCCCAGCCACGCCACGATAATACGAAACGATACACAAATCTCCACAGTTAGAATAAACGGAGTGTAAAAA